CCTGCCGCAGCAGCAGAGGCTCCACGATGACAAAAGCAGGCAAGTCTTCCCAGGCCAATGGGTTTGAAGAGTTTCTGAGACCCACCTCCCAGCTGGGCAGAGGTGAGGGCCTGCAGGCTCCAGTGGCGAGCGGGGGCGAGCCCGGGCCTTCCCCGGGCTCCACGGTGGGAACAGTGTCCAGGGCATAGACAAGGCCGTACACAGAGGTCATAAAACAAAATTTATCTTTAATTTGTAAGTGTCAACAGCAGTACAAAAGATGGAGTGATGACGACTAGATTAAGGGTAGAGAGGACAGTCTTGAGGTAAATGAGCATAAATAGGCAGTTCTTATAGACACTCCCCTGAGGGGCCGAGGCCCCTTCATGGCATATACATTATCACCCAAAGATGGCATGTTTAACATATCAGGAAAGCACCTTGTGCAAAAAGAAAAAAAAAAAGTAGCTAAGGTGCCAACATACACCAGGATAGATAAGGACAGTGTGTCTTTCAATTTTGTCTTTTCCCTTAATTATGAGGCAGAGGAGGGGAAGACTTTGAAAAGTACCACTGAAAGATTATTCAAGGTCGAGTTTATCTCACGTCAATACTGCACAACGAAATCCAAGAAATGTGTGTATGCAACAAAGCTAAGAACAATGATTCATTCCTTTAAATTTGAAGAGATTCTTTTTTTTTTCTTTTCCCATTTCTTTAATCCTTAGCAAACTTTTTTTTTCCATTATCAAGAGGAGAGTGTGAGAGACATGTGATGGCAACCCTTAAGGTAATTTAAAAACTTTACACTGGACTGTACAAGATTTTTTTTTTTGATAAATTATTTACATTTTCAGACTTTCAAACATATTCAAAGCAGCAATAGACACTAGTTTTTATGGTTTTTGTTTTTGTTTTTTTCTAATTGCCCAAATAGTTACCAGCCATGGGCCAAGTAGGTACCTGCGTTATACATAGAATTTCTACAAAGAAAATCTGCAGTTAAATTTGCTCGAGGGTATAGCAAACGCCCTTAGCATCCTAAGGGGCCACACCCACAGTGTTGCTAGAGGACCCAAAGCACAGTACCTTGACAACAAGCTGCAGTTGTCCCAACAGCCTACACGAACTTTACACTTTGAAACAGCAGCCAGCATGTCAGTCCAGCATGTCAGTGAATTGTGCTGATTAAATTAACATAGAATACAATCTCACAATATACATCACAAACAAATTACAAGGTCGGGAAATAAAAGAGTTACAGTAAGATAAGTTATGTAGTAACAGCTTATAAGCTTGTCTAAGGTAATAAAAATTTTACATGGCAAATACAATAATGAATGAACATAAATGCTAAGCATTCTAATTTGCTACAAGCCGGAGAAGGGTACCATAAAGACTGCACTTTCAAAAAAGCAAAAACACGTATGACAAAGGAAGACAAACGGAGAATGCGTATGAGTAGATCTGCAATGTGCAGCATACAAAACAGTTAAATATTTGCACATTCCCCATACTCCAAGAGCACCAGCACTGAGGCCTCACCTTATGCTTGTGGTTCTTCAGGAACAAGAAACTACTGAGCAAGACAGGTCACCGAGTAGCCGTCAAGCGTTCCTATAGCCACGGACAACAGTTGGAAGAGTATCTGCGCTAAACATTACCTTTCTGCTCCCCTTACACCCCCACCCCCACCCTCTAGCCCTGCCCCAAAGGTACCAGCATTCCGAATACTTGTTCGTGAGCTTTTGGAAAGCAGTCTGTCCCCAGAAGGAAAGATGGGATGGGGCTAAGAAGGAAATGTGTTTGCATATCAATATTTTCAATGATCCTAGCAGAGGGTTATGCTCAACAGTACATGGCATCAGAAACAGGACATAATCGGCAGGAATAATAGATAGAAGTTGTTTATTAAGGAAGAAAACATGTCAGGGGGCAGATGACTTAAGGAAATGATGCAAGTGCTTCTGTAAGAGGACAAATGAGGTCATACAATATTATTATACGTTGAGAAGTGAGCTTAAGTGCCAACTCAGTCCTTAGACAAAACGTGCACAAAATCAGGCAAGGCTACAGCAACCATTCTTGTCATTTTCTCATTATAAAGGAAGACCCAGGAATAATTTCAACACATTCCTCTAGCTGCATTCTTTGTAGTTGTTGGCACTTGGTACAGGACTTCTCATATGGTTTAAAACTACTAAGTGATTCTTTTTTCCATTTCCTAATGAGTAGGTAGAGGTCAGCTCTTTGCAAAATGAGTATATTGAGAGAAGCAGCCTCTGCCTGTGGTGTGCAAGTGACCAGGCTGCCTTCCTACTGGGGGTAGCTGAGCTTCCTCAGAACAATCCAGGCTTTCAGCTAGTGCCTGTGCTCCTGGCTCGGGAGGGTGTGTGCAGAAGCAGCAGCCCAGCTTCGTAAGGAAAAGAAAGAAGCCTTTAATTTCAGCCCTAGAGCAATCACACCCTGTTCAAACACCCCAGGCTCCAGTGGGGCTAATGTTCAGGGGAGGCCAGAATTTGACAAGCTCGACAGTGCTGTGAGCCCACACCTGAATTTAGAACTTGGCCTGGGAGACCGAGTCAGGACCCTGGTATATCGAATCAGGCCTGAGGACAAGGCTGGGGAGTATCAAATACCAAGTAAAGCAAACGGGTGTCCTCCTAAAAGATCAGGCTGTATACACACACGTGAGGATGACAAATGTTCCCGCCTTCCTGGAAAAGGTGCTGCATCGCATCTGTCAAAGAAATGGAGACCGCCTGCCTGGCTGCTCCTGTCCGCGGACTGACCTCTTCTTTCTCCTGTTCTTTCCTTTCCTCCCCTCCTTCCTTCCTTCCATCCATCCATCCATCCATCCATCCATCCTTCCTTCCTTCCTTCCTCTGTCTTCCTTCTTTTCTTTCTTTCTTTCTTTTCTTCCTTTCCTTCTTTTCTTTCCTTCCTTCCTTCCTCCCCCAAATGGTCCATTTTTTAGGAGAGGATCGTGGGCCAGTGTCCCTATTCTAAATGAAAAGGAAAATCCTGATCCTGTAAGGTTTTTTTTAGCAACATGGAGATGATCTGTCTTTGATTTGAAGATACTGTGAAATAGGAAGCCCAGGAAACAGTGGATGAGCACTCTTTAATCTAATTGGCATGGCAGGACTTTTATTAACGGTCAATCTCAGAGGCAGATGTTCGCCTGTAGAATGGCATTCACGCTTCTTGCTATTAAATGGTCACAGAACTCCGTTATAAGATTTAGGCAGACTAACAAAAGCAAATTCACTCTCCCCCAGCTGTACTGGAAATTTAGGATGTTCAATTCTTCGAGTTTCCAGAATAAACAAGTAAGTAAAAGTCTGAGTCTGTGGACAGTGGGTTCCAAACTGCACGGGAACCCGGGAGAAGGGTTTGACTGCCCCAGCGACAGGTGGAACACTGCTCTCACTGCGGCTGCTAATTCACTATCCCCATGAGGTACAGTGACTTGTCAACTTCTAGTCTGGACCAACATATATGGATAGAGAACGAAAAGGAAATACATAACTTATATCTCACTAAGTACTCATGAACCAAAAATAAATTCTATTTCTATGTTATATTTACACAATTAGAAAAATCTAAAATGAGATGGTAAAGTCATAAGAACTTTGTTTAAGCCCCACTGAAAAGAAAACGAAGTGATCCCTATGATTGTCATTCTTAATTTCCGTGCATATTTAGAGCCACATTTGGCTAATAAATAAACTGCTTACACGCAGAATTTAGATTCAAATACAGCATCACTGTTTGACCCAATGAAAGAGACGTTTACAATCAGATCATTCCTGAATAGCCTTTCACTTTTAAGAACATGGCTAGGAGTAACTGCACCCCAGTACCGAGGCAGAGCTGGAGCTAAAACAAAGTGTTCATACACACATGTATTTTGCATAAATAAATGAAATAACAAGACATAAAAATGACTCAAATCCGGCAACTGTGAGGCAAGCCCACACGAGTCGAAACAGATGACTTTTGTTCATGTCGTTTTCGTACAACAGTTTCACATTAGTCAGAAGTGATAAAAAATACCATTTATATCCAGTGCTTATAACACTTACGAAACAACATCTGTGAGTGTGTGTGTTTTTTGTTTTTTTTCTTTCTTTCTTTTTTCTTTTTTTTTTTTTTTTAACTATAAGCAAAATCAAGTTTCAGTCCTAAAGAACAGTCCTTTGTTCTCCACCAGCCCAGAATATTATTTTGGCATGGTCATAAAAACAAACAAAATTAACCTACTGTTCTAAATGTTCGCCTTTGTGCAAAATTAATTACATACAATACAATGCTAGCCATATAGCACTCTACCTATGCGGCAAAATAAAAAAAGGAGGAGAGAGGAGGAAAGAGCAAAAGCTGAGTCAAAGAGAAAGAGAAAAAAACACGAGTATGAAGTGAGGAGGAGAGGTATATAATTAAAAAAAAAATCAGTAAGACAATAATAAATATTCATTTTTGAGAAAAAAAAATGGCCTCCTCCTCATTTAAAATAAATGTACAGAAACAAAGTTCCAATCCCCAACCAATACTACAAACAAAACATTCCTATCAGTACCTTAATCAGCTTATGGAGAGCACTCCCAGCTAATGACACAGCCAGTAACATCTTGGCTAGACCTATTTATTGCTATTAGGTATGGCCTTGAGCACTCCTTAAATAAATATGAAGGTACACTATTTTCTTCCAAGTGACAAAATGGCTCAAGAAATCTGATGGGGCCGTTCCTATGTCCTGGTGATCAGATTCTGGGTTGTCCCATGAGGTCAACTGTCCCATTAACTGACACTTTCCCATTGAACCACTCTGGGTGAGGCTCCCTCCCCCACCATAGGCAATCAGTCCTGGTTTTAAGAAGGTCAAAATGGCATGGCTGAGCTTCCAGTAGTTAGGAGAGGGGAATGAAACCTCACTGCCTCCCCACCCATGAGCACATCTCCAGAGAAATCCTCCTGTGTCCAGTGCTGTTAACCATGTTCACAGGGAGGCATGCCCCCCCTCCATGTGGCCACCGATGGAGGGAGGGAGCCAGAGGAGCTCACCTGCCGCCCCAGGATTCATCCGTTCCCCAGAGTTAACAGTAGGAACATCCCCTACAGGGAATGTATCTCCCCTCCTTCTCCTTCCCTATGGTTTTCTTTCATTCTCTGGATGTATCATGACTATTTGCCTCTATCTTTGCCTTGAGGCTGTCATGTGGCTTCCTGCAGCCTGGGGATTTTGCAAAAACAAAACAAAACAAAACAAAAACAAAAACAAGAAAAACAAAAACCAAAACTCCCTAGGCGTGCCAGATGGGACAAGGCAACTCAGTGTGGAGATGCCAGTGCATGACAGCATCGCTGTGGCCTCCTCTGTGGCCCACAACCTTGGGCTTTTGTCTCGGCTGTGGACCCTCCTGCCTGGCAGTCACCACTGCTGCCCCTTGCTGCCAAAGGGCATTTAGGGGTAATGCCGCTGATGCAGATCCTACCACTGTTGCTAGACTGTATTAGAGGGGAAGTCTGGCGAAAGACTTGAGGTCCCAGAGAACCTCAGGGGCAGACCTGTTGAAGTGTAAGACTCTACACCTGTATCCAAATACACAGCCCTCCAGCCAGATAGACACTTATGTTTGAAAACAATATAAGTATTTAACAGAATCTTGTTTCAGAAATGCTTCCAGATGCTCTGGGGACATAAAATCACTATGTACACCTTTTCTATGTAGCAGGAGAAGGAGGTGAAAGGGGCTGAAAAGATCTTCAGGGAAGGAGGGTGAAAAACAAGAATTATTAAATTAATGCCACCAACATTTTTTTTCAAATAAATAGTAAGTGGACCCTTGACATTCTGGAATGAATAAATTATTTAAGAGAAAATGTGTTAAGACTGAATGTCAGGGTTAAAAGGCAAAGGGATAATGGATGTAGTGAGAGATGGTCTCAGGCAGAGAAGACCACCACGTGGGTATCTGGTGTGGTGAATGCTCTGGGGCGCGCTCGTTGCGGCGCATCACGCACTGATGGCACGTCAAGAGGCAAACACGATTGGGTACGTGCACTGTGGCAACCTTGTTCTTTCCTTACAATATCTTGTCTCCAGATTCCTGAGTACTTTACCATTTTCTGGAAAAAAAAAAATGTGTGGTTTGCTATTTTATTTTAAGATGCCAAAGATTGTCTAAGACTTCGCAGTGTCTCCTTTAAGACTTCCAAAATATGAAGATTCAAAAGTTCTGAGAAAAGTTTGGCACATTCAGAGTTTAACTCTACACGTGGAAAAATGGAATTCCGAGGCCTTTTGAATATGCTCTACATGCAGCTGCACACGCTGTGGACTTTTCTGTTTCACAATATGAAATCCTCAGTTGTTCTCTCCAATAATTCAGAATAAAAACACATTCACAACCTGTAGGCCGGCACAGCATACCTGAGTGAGAATGTTTAACCCCATCTAAAACAGTAACTTAAACCTTTATCAACATCCAAAAGGGAAAAAAAAAGTAAGACAAAAATATAAGACTTGTAAGACAGCTATGGGTTGAGATAAGTTTTCAAGTCCTGGTGTCTCATATTTAATATGTCTTCACCTAAATTAAAAAAACAACAACAACAACAATAACAATAACGACAAAAACTCAAGTTCATGAAAAATCCGGGAAAACTTAATCTGTCTCACACTTTACGAAACAATTAAGACCATTCTGCTGATGTAATTGTGGAGCCACAAATGCATGCGGGCTCTTTAAGAACTTTTTGTTGGGGGAGGGGAGGTGAAATGTCAAAGTATTTTAATTCAGCAAACAAACACTCCTCAGTTGGCACTGACAGCTTCAGGGGCTTCATTTTCACTGCTATAGTCTGATTTGGGATCATCTTCATAGTCGTCATACATTTCCATTTCATCTTCTCCATTAATCATTTCATTTCCAGCTAGGCTCCCGCCGTCTGTCTTCATACCATAAGTGCTCTGGATGACAGGGAGGCTGGGCTCTGGGCTGGCGGAGGTGCTAGAGCAGTCAGATGTCATCTGAGGTGACGGTGTGGTTGTTGCCATAGTAATAGCACCAGGATACACAACACCTGTTCCTGTGGTGATTGGAATCTGAGGCTGCTGCCTGTATGGATTCAAAAAAATAAAATAAAACAGGGGGAAATCTGTATGTTCTTCCGGGTGGCACTCGAATTCCTCCCCCACACATTCTGAGAGAGGGCTCTGTTTGACATTCTAAGCAAACCACAGAACGGGACAAAGGTGCTCTCCCTGGAGGTCCTGCATGTCGCCCCCGGTTGCTATGGTTGGGCATTAAGCAATACAATGGAGCAACTTATTGATGGTTTTGAAACATAAAAGCAGGGCTCTTACAACATTACATATGGCAAAGGTTGAATAACACTTGGCATTTGAAACCAAGGCTGTAGTCAATTCCAAAAGTTACACGTGACATCATTTTTTAAGATCTCCCAAGACGATAAAAACAAAATAACTGGTAGCGTGAGATATATTTTAGTGACACTGCTGAGCAGGCTCGTGTCTTCAGCTTGGCTCGAGAATTGTACAAAGGGAAGATCAAGATGAGAAGGGATCGAGTATGTCCCAGAGAGTCAGATTTAGCAAAGCATGTATTTGCTATCTATGCAAATATCTACCTATTTCTATGGCTGAACGGGAAGGGACGCTCCTTTAAGGAGCTTCTATTTTCATAATTATGGAAGGAGCATCTTGGATGTCATGACTCCCAAGGCCCTGGCCTGGCACTGGGCTGGAGGAGTCAGGAGTGAAGAGCGGCGAGAGCCCTGCGACTTATCAGAATAACACACATTGCCTCATCCCAGATCCTAGCGGGTGCCAAGACTGGGTCACACCAGATCATTCTGTCATAATGGTACTCTGGTTCAAATAAACTTACCAGACCCTGTATGAAGGTCAGTCTCTCCCTCTAAAGGGAGACATTGCTCTCTGCCTCTCAATTTCCCTTGAAGCATTGTTATTGGTTGAAAGAATTAAAGATCTACAACACCTAGCTCACAGACTATGACTGAAAAAATATTCTCATGGTTGCGATATTTACCAAGCATTCCTCAACCTGAATGGACAATAATTACCATTTAAATTCATTTCAAAGTATCACTGTAACTATCCTCTCTGAACTTCAGTTTCCAAATGTTTATGAGAGCTGGGGTCAGGGAAGTCTTGGAAGGTCCTTTCACCTTTTAATACTCATGACTTCAGGTTGGTCCATCCCTTGAATGGTTCTTACTGACCCTCTACAATATCGTTAAATCTTTCTGTCCACCCCAGTCAGAAAAATATCCCGAATCTATGAAGAAGCAGCTAAGTTACCAGCCATTCTTTGACATTTCTGGAATAATTTTCTCGGAAAGCCCAGCATACCTTCCAGCCTGGTAGAAGGAACAATGATGGGAATGACCTAGACTCACTCGGTGAGATATTGCATGATGCTATCTTTAACTACCTCTTCCAATCCCCAGAAGGGATGATTATGATTCCTTCACCTCTGACTAATACAATATAGCAAATATTTTCATATATATTACCTCATTCAATTAACACAGCAACCCCATGAGGTATTGTCATGCCCAGGTTTCAGATGAAGAAGGTAAGGCCTTGTGTAAAGTCCTGCATTCAACACCCAGCAGAGCCAGCTTTTAAAACTAGGTCACTTGACTTGAATTCTATCACTCTCTCCTCTATAGATATTCAACGGACAAATAGACTATGCTCACTGTGTCTCATAAAAATTCCTGATTCCTATAGATCCTGTCGGTACCCAGTTGGCACTAAGACCTGATATCGATCCGTTCTCTATGAAGCTCATGGTGACTTCTTTATTGCCTGAAGAAGATGATAGAGGAATCTAGACCTGTTCACAGAAACATCTCATAAAATACTAGTTTCCCTCTTAAAGAATCAAATTCTAAAAACAGTATATTCTGCTTCCTAACTTTTGGGCAAATTAACGCAAACTAAATTTCATGCTAGCCTGCCCAAGGCAGTGAATGCCTCATTAAATTTTTTACAGAACTTGGATAATTGCAATAAAAATATTTTTGCCTTAATCACATAATGAGTGTAGAGTAAAAACTTTTATTGCAATATTAACCCATTTTACAGATTTCCCAATTTGGTGAGCTAATCTGTAACATAAACTCTACATTCCATACACTAACTAGCCAATGGTACACTTTCTTTTCATAAAGGACATTCTTTTTTCAGAAAGAATAGATGGTCAGTTTTGTAGTATTTTTTAATCAAACTATCTACATGTATTGGTCTCTTAAATAAATTTTAACTGGGCTCCTATTATGTGCTGGTGATAATCAGCTCAGGTGCTCATGCTCAGATGCTTTCACGTTATCTTCTTTAACCCTCACAATAAGCCTAAGAGGTGAATATTATTTCCCCTCTTTACTGATGAAGTTACCTAATAAGTTTCAGAGAGTTCAAATTGTTTGTCCAAGGCCATAGGAGCATGACAGCCAGGAGCTGAACCCTTCCTTAATGTCACAAATTCTCTACTGGATATCAAGATTAGGGCGAGGAAGGCAAGCTCACATGGTCAGAAAAATACATGGCAATATGGATCAGAATCAAACTCTTCGAAATTGGGCTCCACATACTTCACAATACTTGGACATTAAGCTGGTAGTTGAACACGAAAAACAAACAAATAAAACATGGGTACAACTTACTTTCTGGAGTGAGGCACATGATAGCCGAAAGCCAACTACTGGTGGTAGGGGGATGCCAGACTATGTCACCCACTGACTCCCTGTCTACTTCCTGCCTCATCATTGCCCCTCGTTCCTTAAAGATGTTAGCTCCTGGTTTACTGTCACTCCCTTTCCAACAGTTCTGCCATAATTCTTGATGACTCCTGTCCATGGAGGTGATAATATCGACACCTTGCCATCTCAAGTTCTTGACCTCCTCTCCGCGGTGGTGCTCTGGCCCCCTTCCTGTGTCAGTTGTAACCCCACCCTGATGTCCATTTTAAACATCTCAGTCTATGACCACCACATCTTCTCTTTCTAGTTTTCTTCCTCTGAAACCCCAGTCCAACAATTCTCCCACCCTTTGGGCATCTATAATTCTTGGTTCTTCAACCAATTTTTGCTGTCCCTGTCCCTCCCCCACGTGTCCTGCCTTTACGTCTTTACCCAGGATAAATTCTGTGGTTAGTCACTGTCTCACAGGCACTCTCCCCTCCCTTACAAGGCAAAACTTGAACTCTCTGCCTACTTTTGAGCACTCCCACAGAGCTGAACTGGCTGCAGAAAAAACACACTACCATGCATACATACTAGTCTCGGATTTTTTTGAGCATGAATTTCAAATTAGCCTTCAGTGCTGTTCAGCCCTCATGTTGTACTTTTTCCTATGACACTCCCTCTTCTACTCTCCTAGATAATTATTTCACACCTTCTCAGCTCTCTTCGGATGTCCAACTTCTCCCATATCCTCACTCTCAATTGATGACCTGGCTTTCCATTTCCTGGAGAAATTAGAAATAATCAGACGAAATTTTTCATAAGCTCCCACCAATCACATTTATCCATCTGCCTCTGTCTGTTCTAATTCTCTGCTTGCCTCCCTGTATTTTGAATGAATTTGTAATCCAAAGTAAGGCCAATCCTTTCATTTCTGCACTGAAACTATCTGTTCTCGCTTACGAAGGACCTCTCTCCAGTGACCGTCTCTCCCATCTGCACGATCAATTTTCCCTCTTTCCTGGATCATTCCCATTTGCACATAAATATGCCACAATCTCTCCCACTTTACTTATTTTTTTAAAAAGATTTTATTTATTTATTTGACAGAGAGAGAGATCACAAGTAGGCAGAGAGGCAGGCAGAGAGAGAGGAGGAAGCAGGCTCCGCACTGAGCAGGAAGCCCGATGTGGGGCTCAATCCTAGGACCCTGAGACCACGACCTGAGTCAAAGGCAGAGGCTTAACCCACTGAGTCACCCAGGCGCCCTCTCTCCTACTTCAGAAAAACAAAAACCAACAAAACTCTCTCTTGACTCACATCCCCCTCCAGCTACTGCTCTATTTCTCTATCTCCTTTAAGGCAAAACTCTTTGAAAAACTGTGTAAATTCATTCTCTTCATTTTTTCCACTAAATTCTTAAATCTTCTTCAATTACTCCCAATATTCCACTGAAATACAGCTTGTAAAGGCAATACTACCAGTGAGCTCCATGTTGTTAAGTTCAAGAGTCAGTTCTTGGTCCTCATCTTACTTGATCTATGCCTTTAGCAGCATTCGATACAGTTGGCCATGTTTTGCCTTGCTGAACTGCTTTCTTCGCTGGTCCTCTGTTCTTCTTCCTATCTCATTACCTCTCCTTCTAGCTCCCTGGATGTGCACTCCCTCCTTATCAACCTGACATCTAAACTCTGAACTACCCAAGGATCAGTCCTTGTACCTCGTCTTGCCTCTATCTAAATTCATGCCCTTGGTGAGCTTGTCCATTTTTCATAGCTTGGAATATTATCTAGGTGCTGACAACTCTCAAATTTGTATGTCCAGTAAGCACTACATTCCTAAATTCCAGAGTCATATATGTATATAACTTCTTACTTGATTTGGATATCAAAACAGCATCTCAACCTTACAGATCCAAAAACCAAACTGCTGATCATCGCCATATACCTCTCCTCTCAAGGGCCTTCTGATCTCGGTTAATGATCACTTCATCTTTCTGGCTGCCTGGGTCAATCCTTGGTAACTGTATGTATATCCTTTCAAACCCTATATCCAGTCCATCAGCAAATTCTAGTGGTCCACTGTCAGGAATCCATCCAGAATCCATCTACTTCTTACTACCTCCACCCCTACAAATCTGATCCAGGCTACCACCAACCCTAATCTGGTTTATTGTAAGAGTCTGCCTCCTTATTTCAGCCATCTCCCCTTCAAACAATACTCAAAACCGTAGAGTGATCTTTTTTAAACCTAAATCAGATTGTAATACTCTTCTGCTCATGACCCTTCCGTGCCTTTCCATCTCACTCATGGTCAGATTTCAAGTCTTCACAAAGGCCAAAGGTCCTTTCACAGTTTGACTCCCTATTACCTCTCTGACATCTCT